GAGAAGCCGGAACTCCACGTCCAGCCTGTCGGGTCATTGCCAGATGTCCCGCCAGAGGACTCTTGTCTGAGTGCTAGCCTTTCAAGGGCCTTCTAACAAGGATATTTCAGTTTTATTCAGCTTTACTTCTATCTTTGTGTTGATGGACAGGGCATTGTGAAGGTGGATCTCAGCAAAGAACCATTCATGATAGTGGAATTACTGATGTCAAACGTAAAAATTTGGCCATATCCTCGGTTATAGATATTGTTGAAAATTTGGTTCATCAATTAGTGCCATTACCACGAAGAAACATCACGAAATTGAGAGTTTGGTGGAGTCTACACAAGGTGTGGCGAAAGCTTGTAAGCTCAACCAGGCTGTGTGAAAATACCAGCTGTCAGCTGCTACAGTGTTGCAACAGGGTGAAACGGAGAGCACCCTTTCAAGAAAGGCACCAAAAGTACTGTATTGTACCCAAGTTACTTACGCCCCAAAGTCTCACTGGATTCTCTGCCGGGGCAAGTAGTGCAACTCCGTCAGGGTTCCGTTTGCCCTAGCCACAGCCTCTCTGTCAGAACAACAAGCATTTTGTTCATGATAGTGCTTGTATCCGTAGTGTGGCAATGTCAGCGAGCATCCTGTCAGTCCCATTCTCATGAGGAATGTGAAAGAACCATCAAGCCCTGGTTTTGCTTCACTTGGAATATTATCACAAGAGACTACCTATTATAGAAGCATCTTGTCATAAGGGCCACCATAAAAGGACAACCATTCCTCAAATAATGATAGATATTCTTATTCTGCAATAAACACACAGGCCTATGACACAAAGTTCCGTCCCAGACTTGTTCCCAGCCATCTAAAGTCAGGACTATGGAGAAGTGGCAGAACTGCCCTGCCACAGGGCTGCAATTTTGGTGCGTCACAGGATCACTATCAACGAAAAATACCCGTTTACAACGGATGCCACGGATCACTATGGGTTATGGCTGAAAATCCCCTGGCTTTTCGCTTGTCAACCTTCAGGTCTCGCCTAACATGACGGGTTAATAGCCGAGTCCGATCGGGTGTAAGCACATGCCCGGCATTTTCGCTTTTTAAGTCCATGAATATCCGTCCTCGAGGTAGCGATTTGGAGATTTGGTGATTGGATGGCAGCTATCAATAGGCTATCGCTTATCAATCTGTGACCGTCTCCGGGGCGGGATGCAAAATGCTGATCACCTCCGGCACGACGGAGCAAAGTTACGAGCGGCTTATGGAAGGGGGGATGTTTTACTCCGAACTACCTATACCTTATCCTCAATGACATAGATAGACAAGTCAGGTCTGTGGCATTTGTAGTTGACGTGTAACTGCATCCCTCGATGCCCCACGGTTTGCGCATACCTGACGTCGCACTGACTTACCAAAGGGTTTGTGCTTCCGTAGATTAAGATTGCGATGCGTATCAAATGAAGGAGTAGGACCGTTGCAGTATTGGCATTCGCAAGGCCTCCCTTTGCTGGCGCGGACCGAAATCGCGATTCTGCGGGATCGAGAATATGCCTCGTCGCGCCTCATTAAACTCTTTGCGTCATCTCGTATCGATCTCTTCCTCTTGAGGAATCTCGGGGAATTTGAGATGACTCAAGGGGCTGTGGGTCATTTGACAGCGTATGTACAATAGACCCGGGACTTTTCGATGTGCATCGCCCAGAGTGCCCTGAAATGTCTAGATTCCCGATGTTAGTGGTCATGAGACAGTTTTCAGTTTCCGTCATGACACCTTTGCTTCGGATTTACGAAGGAGCTTCTTTATCTTTTCAGGCTGACCATGTCAACCTATAACAATGAATCCAGCCAGGGCAGAGCTGTTGAGATCTAAGAGTCTAGACCACATCCCCAAAGTTTATCGATAAGATATAGATAAGATAAGATACTCCACTCTTTATTTTTTTCTTGTGCATTCCATGTATCGAGAATCTAATGGTCCATGTGAAACCTCTATATCAACACCAACATCGCAATCATGGCTGACGATGGAATGCTTCTGAATTTTGACCTGGGCTCAGGTCCAATCAAGCCCCAGGTCAAGTTTAAGGGTGGTCGATGGCGTGACAGGAAGCAAGCAGAGAAGTCGGCAAGGATAGCTTCCGGGAAAACACCACAAGCCAAACCTTCCGGGGACGGATTCGATGAGGGCAGGTCGTCAAAACGCCAAAGAACAGATGATGGAGGAGGGGATCATTCATTCGATTACAAAGCATCCAACAGACATGGTTCGCGACCGAAGTTCACAGACAATGATGGCCACGGAGGCTCAGGCCAGCCTCGCAACCAACAGTCAGATCGCAAATCTAGACAAGTCATCTCACGACTCTTCTCATTCAATCCCGCACAGACGACAGAGGAGGAGGAGAAGCAGGCAGAATGGACGGCTCCCGAAGCGACCAATGCCCCTTTGTCAGATGTTGCGAACTTTGGCACATTGACGATTTCTGCCCGACTTGTTGATGAGCTCGGCAAGATGAACCTGGAGCGACCCACGGCTATTCAGAACAAGGTGATTCCGCACATGTTAACGAGTAGCTCTGATGCCTTCGTGCAAGCCGAAACTGGCTCCGGAAAGACTCTGGCATACCTCTTACCTATCTTACATCGTGTTCTACTTCTCAGCGAAAAGGGGAAGGCTCAGATTCATCGAGATTCTGGTGCTTTTGCCATCATCGTTGCACCTACTCGCGAACTTGCAAAACAGGTTCACACAGTTCTGGAGAAGCTCATCCGACCGTTCCCATGGCTCGTCTCGACAGCAATTACCGGAGGAGAATCTAAGAAGGCGGAAAAGGCTCGCATACGGAAGGGTGTCAATTTCCTGGTTGCTACTCCTGGACGACTTGCTGATCATATCGACAATACAAAGGCGCTTAGCCTCAGCACGGTTCGATGGTTGATTCTCGATGAAGGTGATCGACTCATGGATCTGGGTTTCGAGGACGACTTGAAGAAGGTCATCACGGCTATCAAGGCAGTCGACGTATCTGGCAAACTACCGGATGGAACACCACTCACGGCCCTACCCGAACGAAGAGTTACGGTGCTGTGCTCAGCGACAATGAAGATGAACGTACAGAAGCTGGGAGAGATGAGTTTGGCGGATGCGACATTCCTGGCAGCAAAGAAGGAGGAGATGGAGCTGGATGTGGAAAACACGGACATGAAGGCTCCCGCACAGCTTCACCAGTACTACTCTGTTGTCCCGGCCAAGCTACGACTCGTTACTCTCATCTCGTATCTCAAGGCGACATTTTCTCGGCGTGGAAAGACCATGAAGGCGATTATCTTCATATCGTGTGCCGACTCTGTCGACTTCCATTACGAACTGCTGCGAGACCCCAACAATAATGAGACACCTGTCGCAGGCTCCAAGGATGCAGAGTCGGTTTCGAAAACAGTGGCAAAAGCAGCATACATCACTTCACCAGCGAGCCCCGAAGTTGTTCTACACAGGATGCACGGATCTTTGTCGCAGCCCATTCGTACAGCTACATTGCGATCGTTCTCAGCTTGCAAGTCTCCCTCTCTTTTGATCACCACCGATGTTTCCTCGCGTGGTCTTGATATTCCGTCGGTCGATCTGGTCATCGAGTACGACCCAGCGTTCAGTTTCGCTGATCATATTCATCGTGTTGGTCGTACTGCTCGTGCTGGTCGACCCGGTGATGCTTTATTATTCCTGCTGCCCGGAACCGAGGAAGGATATATCGAGCTTCTAAAAGCGTCAACGCCACCAACGCCGCAATCCTACGACACTATTCTCCAGAAGGGAATGATGACGAAACTCGAATTCCCGGTCGAGACATCCGCGAAACCGGAGGATGGACAGTCCTTCCACGACAAAGCGGAAGCTCTTCAGCTACATATCGAGCAACGTCTCCTAACGGACACCAAGCGACTAGAGCTTGCTCGAAACGGCTTCAAGTCCCACATCAGGGCATACGCTACGCATACCAAGGAGGAGAGAAAGCACTTTGACATTTCAGAATTACACTTGGGACATACGGCAAAGAGCTACGGTCTGAGAGAGGCACCTGGGGGCATCGGCGCAGGTGTGGAGAGGAAGACTAAGAAGCGGACGAATAAGGGTGTCGAGAAGAATACAGAACAGGCAGCTGGAGATGAGAGGCAAAACCAGAACATTATCAGGAAGAAGAGTATGATGCTGATGAATTCCGCGGCAGACGAGTTCAACATTGGTTAGGTAGCGCATTCCTTGGTTCAGTTGAGTTTTATTAGAACAGCATAACTAAAAGCCGGGCATGATGATCATGCCCATGTTGATTTTTCCACATCTTCCTATGACATTGCACATCTATCATATGGTGCTCCTGCGTATGTGTCCAACGTCATGGCCTTCCAAGATCTTGTCGCCATGACGATGCAACTCAGCATCTCGCATCGCACAGAGATCTCAAGGTGCGCATCGAAACCTGCACAATATCAGTCGCGATTCTCTTGCTCGACCAGTCACAGCCTCACAGTCTGACAGCTAACGGACAAATGCGCCACAAAGGGTATCTCTCCGACCTTTCAAGGGTCCAAAGGCCCAGATCATGACATAAACTCACCATGGCCATTGTCGGGACATGCCTGCTAGCGATGCTCTTCTGCCCTATAACATCACTGAGGCGGACACCTCTGCATGCATCTCAAACACCGGAATGCGTAATTATGTGTCGAGGGACGTCATTTTAGAGGTGTGGTGTGGCTGGTGTGGTTAGATGTTGATCCAATGAATGGCCGATTGACGTCATTCGGTGATGGAGCCTGGCTGATGATTTACAGGACAAGATATTGTTAGGATTCCGATGAGAAGAGGAGATATATTTAAGAGAGGCTTCTTTCCACTGACTCTAGTGTTAATCATCTGCAACCTACAAGACCTCAAGCCTCAAAACAAATCTCAAGACACAAGCACCACACCAAAACACCATACTACCAAAACACCACAGCATTAAAACACCAAATTTACCATCATGAACAACAACAGCAACAAGAACAGCAACCCGGCCGGCAACGTCGGCGAAACAGTCGGAGGAGGTCTTAACTTCCTCACCAGTACCGTTGGCAATACTGTCGGCGGCTTGGGTCGCACAGTTGGGGGAGTCACCGGGGCCGCAACGAGAGGTCTAGGCGACACCGTAACCGCCGCCACTGGTGACGCTGGCCGCCCCCTCGGGGACGGAATCGGCAATTTGGGAACTGGCGTTCAGGGCGGACTCGACAGCATCTCCAAGGGTGTTGAGAATGCTGGACAGTGGAAGAAGCAGTAAAGAGCACAGCGATATCAAGATAATTTGGGAGGTGAGGAAGGATATAATCACCTGGTACTATCACGACGGATTGTAGGATTACGATTTGAGTTAATATGAATACAACTTTTGTTAAACATAGCACCCATCTATTCGTCACATCAGATGCGCAGTTGCATTGCCGCCGCCTTTCGCGCCCACGATCGCGTCCTCGCAATTTGCTAGCCAGATCCCTTCAACGATCCTAAGACTACAGCGGGTATCTTTTCGGGGATTAGATCCAACTTGCATCAGCATATTGCTGATTGAATCTTCTACGGACATATAAGGATTAGAAGCCAAAGTCACAACCGCCTGGGTTAGCCTAGTACCTACATGGTCATACTGACATGCATTACAAGATTATCGTCTTCGGACGTTAGAGGCATGTTTGCCTGCTGCCGCCCAGTGTACAAAATCCTCGCGGCGCGCAGACGTGGTCATCATTTCTATTTGAATCCTTCTTCATGACCCAGCATCAAGCCGAGCACACAATGAAAGATGGGTTATAAATCAAAAATTACGCCTCTCATGGCCCCGAAGGACAATGAAGTGCGGACGACTCCGCGATGTGCAATGCAGGCCGTCACACACTGAGGTTCCTCATTCATGAGCGAGGAAACTCCAAGCAAGGTAAGTATGAAGAAGAAAGGAAAAGAAGAGCAGAAGAAGAGAGGCAGCTCGAGATTATATACGGGAATTTTTGAGGTGGCCCGTGCGCTGTTGACTCCTCAGGTTGCTAGGCCAACAGGAGCTATGGGTAGCTGCACGTGACTGCTGCCTCAGGGTAGGTAAGGTAAGGTAGCTGCTCTGCGCTCCTAACATTTCGGAAGGTGCTGAGCCGTGACAGCTCGGCTGCATGTGGAGAGCTTCATCTCCATTGAGTTCGAGTTGGCCTTGGCGATTACCTCAATTGGGCATTTAAATCCCTGCGATTCGGTTGAATAAAGCATCCGCCGACCATCGTTGTTCGAGAAGCTTGAACCGCGCCAGTGGTAACGACTTAGCTGAGATTTACCAACACATTACAAACCTGAGGACCTACATGTCGATCGTGGCGCAGGTCCGTAAGATCAAATATTTCCCTAAAGCCTCGCGAGACTCACCACGTGTTCTACGATGTTAAGCGATGACAAGCGTGAAGTATAATTCCTATAGCTTCTACATCGAGAATTCATGCCCGAGGATAGCAGTGGGCCTGGAAATGCCAACCGGGCTGGTGATTGATAATGATGTCTTTAGGGTAAGACCTCGGTCAGCATCATGGAACTCGAGGTATCCGACGAGATTACTACATGGAGCTTCTGACAGTCTTCACCGAAACTTGCAGTCGTATTCAAGAAAGCTGCAGTAGTATTTTCGCGGATCTCGGCGTTCATTATGTAAATTGTCATGGTATTGTTGTGCTGCGGAAGTGTGCAATCTTGCAACATGCCATAGTAACATTGTATCAAGACAATACTAGTAGAGAAGATGCAGTGACATGCCACTGGAGTTTGAGAATCATCCCCCCTACACCATTCGACGTTACGAGTCCTTCCTTTTTTGTGTTTGTACTAGTCGAGATGTTGTCAGCCGTTTCGAGCCAAGGGCCAAACAAGACTCGTATCCGCATCACCACAGTCACAAACTTACAATGTCTCCAAGCTACGGTTACATATATCCTGAGTCTGACACGAGAGAACATACCTTCTCGGAGGCCTCGCCTTTGACAACATCAATAGCATTAACCGTATTATACTAGGCGAACCGAGGGCTAGAGATGCCTGGGGTGCTGCTAGCTTCGGTAGTTCGACCGTTCAGATCTGAATTGCGAATATGCTTGTCTTAAAATCGGCGAGAATGTGGGATTCGTATTCGATGAACCAAAAAGGACCAGCGCTTAACGTTATACACAACGGACAATTCGGGCCAAGTATTCCGCACCCCAAAGCTTACAGTGAGATCTATGAATACATTTCAACGTCAGCGTACTTGTAGCCTCGTTCAATGCCCAATACAATGTTGGATATCACGGCAGTGGCTTACCTCCATTGGCGCACAAGTGAAACGTGTAAGCCAGCCAGGGCGCTTCAGAGTGCGGGCTCTCAGTCGGCACCAAAATGCCGAATTATCGAGCTTCAACATGGCTTGCTACACAGGGAGTGTCGGCTCGGTCTGGAACCCGGTTTGATCTAGCGCTCAGAGAGTTTCGAGGAGAAAGGTCAAACAGAAAACACTAAACGAAACCAATTCTGGTTCGGGGGTATCAAACTGTCCGCGACGATACGGAGCCGCTGGAAACCTAGCACAGCACCTAGATCTGTATGCATATGCCGAGACTGAGACACAGCCACTTACTGTTTGTTGTCCCGCCTAGCTTGCTAAATGGATGTTTGGAGTAGGGCGGCCGCCCCTGTGCTTCATCCTGGTTTTAGGTTAGCAGACGACCCTAGAGGACCTTGCAGCGAGGCCGACAGGGGACGAAGTTAAACTCGACCTCGACCCGACTTCATATAATTGGCATCAGTTGGAATGACTATAAAGAGGAGGGATGAACTACCAAGAATGGGATTGTATCATCAACAAACACTTGCACATTCACACTCACACTTGTAAACACAACAAACATCCAACCCATTCAAACAAAACAGTTCCAAACCCATCACGACCACCACCATCACGTGACTACCCTCAGGACCACCATCATCATCCAACATCAACCAACCTGCACCTAACCACCATCAAAAATCACCAAAATGCCCTCTCCCATCAAGCTTTTGGCCCTTTGCGCCAGCGCCGTCTCTGCTGCCGTCCACGTCGTCAAGGTCGGAGAGAATGGTCTAAACTTCACTCCTGCTCAGACCTCCGCCAAGGTTGGAGACACAGTAGAGTTCCATTTCTATGAAGGCTTCCACTCCGTTGCCCAGAGCAGCTTCGCCAAGCCCTGTGAGCCCATCAACAGCACTGCCTTCTTCAGCGGTGACCAGAATGTCAAGACCAAGGTCAGCGACAAGGTCTTCACCATCGAGGTCAAGACCGAGGATCCCATCTGGTACTACTGCGCTGTCCAGGGACATTGTCAAGGAGGCATGGTGGGTGCGATCAATGCTCCGTAAGTTATACTATCTTGTAAACAACATTACATATGCTAACAAACGAATAGTACCAGCGGTGCTAAGAGCTTTGACAACTACGCCAAGGCCGCCGCCGACTCTGAAGATAGCTCTGCCCCCAAATCCACCGGAGGTGGTAAGCTTGGCGCCGCTGAGACAGGAAGCGCCTCAGGTTCTGCCTCTGGTACCGCTACCGCCACTGCTACAGAGAGCGGAACTGCTGCCAGCGCTTCAGCAACCGAGAGCGGCAACGCCGGTATTGAGGCTCGAGGACAGATCCAATGGGGTCTTATGAGCGGTGCCATTGCTGCCCTCTTTGGCGGTTTGATGATGTAGGAGAATCTCCTGCCAGTCAACGTTGTGTTATGATTCCAGCCCCAGAGGCATTATATTTGTTTCAGCTAGCGAGTTACTAGTCATGAAACATTATGTATGTATAAACGCAGATAGACCGCCTCCTGCAAGGAGTAATATGAATATATACCCTCACTTCCGCAAGCCACAATGGTGTCCTGTAATGACCGTGATGTGAAGCAACGCAAGACATAAGCAAAGATAAATGCGGCGTACGCAGACATTCCATATAAAATGGCATACATATCGGGTACCTGTCACGTAAAATACCGGTCATATTTGTAAAAACGGCATGGGCAATCGTTCTTCGAATCTCGTACCCACTTGACTGACCGTTTCATTCTTAAACACTATCATATAAAGTCGTTTAACGGAAATATTCTTTTATTCTGAGTTTCTTAACACAGCTCGTTTTTTTTTTAATTTTTTTTATTAATACTCCGCGCTAATCTGGGCTCAGACTGAACCTGGAGCACCGATCTTAACCGCTCAGGCAGTATGCCATCCACCGACTTTACATTTGAGTGGTATGGACAGGCAACTGAACGACAAGAGTATCGTCAGTGACAGAAGAAAGTCTTCCAGGACGTGCCAAGCTGAAGCTGACATTGCCATCAATCGCTGGACCCTGCATCTTGTGTACTGGGTCCTCTTGTGCAATCACTTTAAATGCAATAGCCATGGATATTGGCAGTACTCATGCTTATCACAAAATATTTGCCTCACGCAAGTTGCGTAAACATGATATACGTTATATCTCGTAGTAAATTGGAACAAACCACAACCTGACTGACATGTAATTTCCTGTAACCATACGATCAGCCCTACCCAGGGTAAGGTATGGTCAGTATGCTTTTTGGTGGCATTATTCCTAAACGTTGATCAATCCAAATGCGTGGCGATGTTTTGTTTAATGTGACGACGTTGACCTTCAGTTCGCAATAGGGAGGATCACATATCTATTCGATATCTGATGTTGGACCTCTGGAGCTTGAAGCATTATCTTGCATTACTTCTTACACTGAGAATCTTGGTAATCATTAATAAGAGGTTTATCTCGGTACTATGCTTAGGTATTTAAGGTAATAACTTACTAAGGTAGGTTACTAGTCACTTTGCTCTTTCTCTCTTCAGTGGTGCTAGTATTGCTCTTTCCTAATCTACCTAGGGGCTCATAGGAGGACGTTGCTTTTTCCTAACGCCTTCCTAATGCACTCTTATGAAGAGATTGCGAAAGAGTAACGACAGCAGGACATAGCATCACGCACACATTTACCCAGTCCAATCAATATATACACATATACCCTGCTTCATTAAAACAGAAAACATATATTTGCCGTACTTCTCCCATATAGCATGCACACAGACGATACAGCATACACACACTTACCCTACTGCGCCAATACAGCATACCTACACAGATTTACTGCTGCATCGATACTGCATGTACACATTTACCCTGCTTTTTCGATTAACATAAGCACTATTTTCACGTGCCAACTGCCCTGTGCTGTTTCGAGAGCAGCAGCTCCA